AATCACCTTTATTTACAATTAGGGAATGCAGGGTTCCCAAGAGGTGGAGGAGGGGAACCGACACGTGAGTAAGAAGTTCGTACAAACAGTTTGAATATCAGTGTGATTTCCTTTTTCCTGTTTTCTTCAGCTGATGATGGAGAGGTTCCGCCAAGGGAGAAGGAGAAGAAAGTGCGTCCCTTCTCGATGTTCGACACGGTCGACCAGGCGGCCGCGCCCCCTGCCTTCGGGTCCCTGCGGAAGAACCAGAGCAGCGAGGACATCCTGCGGGATGCGCAGGTACGGGCGTGGGCATGTCCAGGGTCGAGCCCGCTGGTGTTAGAGCGGGTACGGGGCGTGGGCACGTCCAGGGGTAGAGCCCGCTGGTGTTAGAGGGGTACAGGGTGTGGGCACGTCCAGGGGTCGAGCCCGCTGGTGTTAGAAGGGGTACAGGGCGTGGGCACGTCCGGGGGTCGAGCCCGCTGGTGTTAGAGGGGGTACGGGGCGTGGGCACGTCCGGGGGTAGAATTAAATTTCATTGTAGGTTAGAGAACACCAAATAATTCATCTTTGGCACAGAGCAACCCATAATTTGTGGCAGCCTCTGTCCTGGGCAGCGAGTGTGTGCGGTGTCACACCGACTGGGGCAGCTGACCTACCTGCTTCTGGGCCGTATTTCATGTGATTCTCTAAGAAACACGAGTGCAAAGGAGAACATCCAACGTGTCTGCTCAGTTACCTGCCGGGACAGAAGTGGGCACGAGGGGGTGGTTCCTCGCGGGAACTGCACTGCGTTACTGAGCCCGCGTAAACCGTGCCTCAGTTCAGAGACTTAGGGGTTAAATGAGAATGATTAAACGTGTGGAGCTAGGAGAGTTAGTGTTTACTTGCATCTGTGCAGTTGGGTCATCTCGACCATCCGTGTGCCCAGTTGCTCAGTATTTTTACTGACTGTGTGTATGTGTCTGTCTTACAGGCTGCAAATAAAAAAGGGAAAGTACCACCTCCTGTTCAGGAGGCCGCAGACGGTGGCGGCCAGCTCCATCTACTCCATGTACACCCAGCACCAGGCGCCCGGCAAGAGCTTCCAGCAGGCCGTGCAGAGCGCCCTGACCAAGGCGCAGCCCCGAGGGCCGCACTTCCCCAGCGGTAAGCTCCTCCCCTCCTTTCACCCGCGTGGGTGATGGCAGTCCCGCCAGGGCCATCAGGAAACCAAGGGGACATGC